TTGAAAACCCCCCCCCCCCCCCCCCCCCCCATTCACAGACCATTACACTGTCTTTACACTGATAATGTCTTACTTCAGAGTGATTCTTTGTGGGCCTTTTGTGCTTAATATAGATACCTCACTTTTGAAATGACAGGTAATCATAAGACATTTCATTTCATCAGTTATCTTTAATTATTGCAGTAGCAACAACAGGTATAGATCATTTCAAATGATTTATACTAGTATATATTGCTATTGTTATTTAATCATGTACAAATAGTAGAACTTTATTATTTTATTAGCAAATCTTTATTGTCTTAATTTGTGGTCTGTCTGTCTCTTTATTTTTCAGTGTAATATGGAATCTCGTCTATTAAATTTATTGTTCTTTTATTGCAGTAAAACTGCTTCAGTGGAAACAGACAGATAAAGATGTCCGTCTTGCACTGGATGTGGGAAATATAACTGAGAAAGATGTAGATGTCGGTTATACGCAGTCTGGTGTGCTAGTCAAGTTTGAAGGTAAGGTGCAACACACACACACACATACACACACACGTGCACATACTCGCATATTCAGTTTTTTATTTTATTTTTATGTTCTGAATTGATTTATCAATTTATCAAATTTGTTTTCAGATGGACGTTCCTGGAAATGTTCATTCCCACATCCAATTCTTCACAATCAGAGCAGAGTCGTTCTGGCTGGTGGAAAAATTCTTTTGAACTTGAAAAAGAAAGATGAAGTAACTTGGAATGATCTTGGGGTAAGGTCTATATAGTGCTTTTTTTTACCTTAATATGATATATTTAACTTGATGTTTAGTGTCCCTTTTCTGTAATGAACATTGCTATTTGCTTTACTTAAGTTGCTGTTAATATTTTTATTATTGTTATTTCTTTGGTTATGACAATTGTTGTTGTTGTTGTTTTGTATGTTATGTATCGATTATATGAAAAGATTTAACTTATAAAAGAAAAAAATTGTTTTTTTTTTTTAGACATTCTCCAGTGAAAGAACTGGCGTAAAAAAGGATGAAGCAACAACTTCAGTTTCTGATATAAAAAACAACGAGTCCCAAATAGGAAACGAAGAAGAGAGTGCAGCCAAGGAATCAGTGGACATGGTTGTTGGAAGTGAGAAGGAGAAAAGTGAAAATGACGGCGGTGACGAAGCTCCTTGTGTTTTGGATCATGTGAAACATGACTGGTTTGAAAAAGTATGGAGAATTTAGCAGATAACTGCATATAAAAACAGAGAAATACTGTCCTTAGGGCAATTCTTAAATTTTTTTCCCCTGGTTTTCATCTTTTCTACTGCTAAACAGCCATCTTCCCCTTTGCTCCCCACCCCCACCTAAGTATGAGTTTTTTTAGTCTGGAATATACCCATTAAATATGACACAAGTGCTGAGCTAATGAGTGCTCGATTTTAGTGTGTATCAAAAAGCTTAATAAATGCACACTAAAATCTGGGCATTTGGCATCTCAGCACTTGGGCTATATTTCATGGGAGCATTTGAAAATTTAAAAGCCAAGATATGAAGTAACTGAATGTATTATATGTAAAAGACAAAATGTCAAGACTTATGGCTTGATATGGAGCATTTGATGAATTACAGAAAGAGGATACTGTATATGTGGTTAACTATGGTATTTACTTTTCTCATGTTTTCTAGGGTACAGACATCATGGTTGTCCATATGTATGTCAAACAGATCATTAAAGAGCACCTGGACATCCAGTATCAGAGTGACACAGTGAAGATACACTTCAAATCAAGGTAGATAATTTTGGGAACTTTTCTAGCAAACAGTTTTGTTGCTGTGAAATAGTTTTTTTTTTTCTGGTCTTTTGTATGTAGTTATTCTAGAAAAGTAGAAAATGTGTCTGAAGAGTGAAAGTGACTCATCAGATATATGATCAAAGCCCTTTGATAAAGGACATGTACATCATGCCTCATAGGTGAAAAATCCGTTTAGTCTCTTTAGAAACATTTTTTGTTGCTAATTATGTGTTTTACAAATGATTTTAAGCTGCAGTACGAAGTTCTGTAATGGTTTTGTAATTTTTTTTTTAAATTGAATTTTTTTTCACAGAGATACAAAGTTTCTCAGCTTACACCAGGGCACTGGAGAAGAGACTTGGTTTTGCTGGAACTTGAAGTTGAGGTGAGTTCTTCCTCCTCTTGAGAAAGGTGAGAAATTAAGAGACACTGACTAACACAGCTGTGTGTACTTCTGTCATAGATCAGAAAGTCACTAAGGCCATTTAAACAATGTGTTGTTCACTTCCTTTTCACAGCATTTTGACTAATCTTAACATGAAATTATGCTACGTGGGGTTTCTCTCCCTTACATAAGTTTGCTTCCAACTAGTTGGATTAATTAAAATTAGTGCAGGTAATGTCCTTGTCAAGAGTGATGGTTCTGCAAAGACAAATCGTTGGGGTCAGTTTAGAATAAACGGCTTAGGACCAGAAGTTGGTCTTGTTCTTACTTTTGATTGAATATTATGTAATCCTCACAGGCATGCTATTCAGCCAGATCAGTGTAAATCAAGGGTGACGGGAACTATGGTTGAACTGTCCTTGAAGAAGAAAGATGCTGTGAGGTGGAAGGCTCTGGAAGCACCTGTTGGTAAGTGTGTGCGTGTGGGCGCGTGCTTGCATGCGTGTGTAAGTGTGCTTTTAGGTTTGTGTGTCCAGTTTCAATTATCTTCTTAGAATTAAAAGAATTAAGGCAGATGTTAATGCAACTTCTCTAGATACAGCACCAGTAACCCCAGCACCCCAGAAGGTGGACAACGGTGTCCAGCAGGAAATGACCAGTGGCCCAAAGCCTGTCACATTTGATGAGGTGGACCGTGTTACCACAAAGGGCACCAGCACAGAGGGTAGCGCTATCCAAGATAGCACCAAGCCAGCAGTAGAGTCCACCAGTACAGCCGCACAGGTTTGTCTGCCTGTCTGTCATATTTTTTAGTAATCCTTGTGTTTAGCAAGTGAAAAAAGCAAATGCTCATCAAAATAGTTTAGTATTAAAGTTCTCTTTCTTCTTGAAAGTTAATTAACTGTTCAAGTAGACACACCCAATACACGGAGCCTAGAAATAAAGTTTTCTATGATTTTTTTTTTTTTTTTTGATTCAATGGCTGCAAATTTGTAATAATGATAGTAACAATTTATGAAGAAAATCACAGCCAATAGGTGGCAGTTATATATAATTGTGACAACATACAATCTAATTAAGAGCATAAAATAAAAGTAGGCTGTTAGAACAGATTATGAAATGGGAAACTTTGTAATACAATTTGCCATATGAAAATGCACTTTAAAGAAAACAATGTCTAAGTGCTAAAATTTTTCTACTTAAATATGATCATACATGAAAAAATATGTTTTTTGCAGAAGCCAACCTGTTTGGTTTCCCCACTGAACAAACCCAGTATTACCAAGTTAGTGGAACCAGGATTTACTGGTCTGGACAACCTCGGCAACACATGCTTCATGAACAGTGTGCTTCAGGTCTTGGCAAATACCATAGAGTTCAGAGATTTTTTTCTTGGTAAGTGACTTTATTTTTCCTTGTCTTCAGGTTCAGTGCAAGTCAGCTTATTTATTTTCAAACCATCATTTCCACATGCTTATAATTATTGGATTTTGACTGTTTGTGGCAAATTTAAATTTATCTTTATAAAGGTATACTTTTTGTGAATTCATTTTGCTAAAGAACTTTTCTCTAACTAATTTGTAGTTATCTGTCATTTTGCCTGAAAGCACCTTATTTTGTGTGCAGTAATCATGGTAATGTTAGTTAAAAATATAATTGATATAAAACTCGGAAAATATATGTCATTATTATTATATTTTGTAAACATGCTTCCAGATGGTCACTATCTGAAGGACATTAATGAGTCCAATCCCCTGGGCAGTGGTGGGCGGCTGGCCGCCACCTTTGTTTTCCTGCTTAAAGTGCTCTGGTCAGGGACACGGTCATCATATGCTCCCTCTAAACTGAAGGTCAGTACATGGACATGAACATGCATGCACACACACATGCATGCAAACACACACACACACATACATGAAAAAATGCATGAATACGCATGCATCTACACATACATGCACATGATAAATAGATCCTTCCTTTCATTGTAATGCTAACTGAAGTTATTTAGATTAGAAGGTCATCAAATAAAAGTAGTTCACAGATGTTCATTGTTTCCAAGGCATGAGTCGAGTCTAGCCAAGTTATTTTTCATTTATTTCAGAATCTGTGATAAAAAATTTGAAATGAGAAGTTTGATTGACTGAACTTAAAAATATTACACAAAGATTGGGCTTAGGAATGTATGTTACTATTTTGACTTGTGCATTGATAATTTTATGATAAAAATGTATTTCAGAATCTGATAGCCATGAAAGCCAGTCAGTTCACGGGGTTTGCCCAGCATGATGCGCAAGAATTCATGGCGTTTCTTTTAGATGGACTACATGAGGTATGGACTGAGAAAATTTTATTCAGCAATTTGATTTAAACATGTGACCAGTAATTAAAAAGAAACTACGTGAGATGTGTCGTGTATGATTTCAATGAAGTTGCTGAGATAACGCCATGTGTTTAATTTTCTTTTTAGAAATACTTTCTCTGATTCAGTTTCAAAGCGGCTTTGACAAAAACTGAAAACAAGCATAGTTTCTCATAGTTTTATGGCACGTGCTCGTTTATGGTTACAGGACTTGAATCGTGTCCGAGACAAGCCTTACACTGAGACAGTTGAAGACAAAGGGAGGCCAGATGAGGTAGTGAAGTCTTTGTTGTTGTAGTCATTGTTGCTGCTACATAAATTAAAAATTTCTTGACTAATGAAGCTTCAGCTGATTATGATATTCTTTGTTTGATTTGTCATATGCATATGGTTTTGTAAAGTTGTTTATTGAAAATTAAAGCTGTTATTTGTAATCCGATCAGAATTTTAGCAATGTTGCCAGTGAAAGAGAAAATGTAATAAAGAAGTTAAATAATACTAAGGAAATGATCACAACATTAAAAATTGGTGTTTAATTTTATAACATAGGTCAGGTTTTTTTTGTGTTTAAGCAGGAAATGTATTGATCAGGAAAAAGAAATTTAAAATGAGAGTTTTTTTGTTGTTACTTGTCTTTGGTTTTCAGCATATTGTATAAGTGTTTGAAAATAAAATAAATTGATTGCACCTACATCCAGGTTGTGGCTGCCGAGGCATGGGAGGTGTATCAAAAGAGGAATAACTCCTTCATAGTGGACTCTTTTCAAGGGCAGTTCAAGTCCAAATTAGTCTGTCCTCATTGTAACAAGGTTGGTGACACTGGATTGTATTATGTCATTTTATCACATCTAAGACAGCTACTTTGATTTGTGCAAAACTGATTTTACGATGAAACTGAGGAAAACTGTTGAAAATTTGAGAAAGAAAATTGAAATAAGTGTTTGTGATGTAATTAAATAACACCACTATATTAGTAACCATGTATATATTACCAGACTAATGGTATTTAAAGAACCAGAAGCATTTGATTTAAGTTTTATCACAAAGTTGTTGAAAATAGAAAACATGTTTCTTCAGTTTTAGATATTGCCTTATTCATTTGAAGTATTTTAAGCATTAATGATCTAAGTCAAGTGGCCTAATAAAGCAGTGGCCAGTATCCGGACATATTTGCAAAATATCACTGGTCTGTCTTCAGTTTTACTGCTGTTTGGTGTGGGACAAGATTTCTTATCATTTGTCCTAGAAATGACATGAATATCAGGTTCTCAGTACCTGTTGATTCCATCATGTATTGTAAAATTTCCAGGTTTCCATCACGTTTGACCCCTTCATGGTATTATCAGCACCACTACCTAAGAAGTTAGTCTCTTTTCCTGTCATATATATGTCAAAAGACTCATACACAAAGCCAATCAGGGTAAGTGGATGAACAACATCATCAGATAATAAATATGTCTTTACAAAGGTTTCTTTTGTTAGTTTTCTAGCATCCCAACCACTGAGTTCACTAAGAAACCCCAGACAACCAAAAGTTGATCTTAATGTAAAAATAAAAAAATCAGTCTAAAAGTGATGACCAAAAATGTTTTGTCTTTGTATAAGCTGAAACTTATGGATTGAAATCTTCATATGATTCAAACAAATTTGGTCCTAAGGTTTCACAGGTTCAGTGAAGTGTACTATAATTATATTTTGCTGCATTTTTTCAGTACATGATCAGATTACCCTGTGATGCTGGTATAGGACAGCTGAAGCAGGCCATTGCAGATAAAACAGGGGTAGATCCTAAAAATGTAAGTTATAAAAAAACTAACATTTTTCAGTCCAAGGAAACCTGTTACTCTGTACATCACTTTTTGGTTAGTTATTAATAAAGTTGGATTTTCGTTCTAGAACCAGTTTGTGGGGTGATTTGTGTTTTGCTTGTAATTTTGGCTTGTGGTTTATAAGTATTTAGACTTCTGTTATGGTTTTGTTCTTTATTTTCAACTATGAAAACAAATTGCAATTTACTATCTTTTTTCTTTATTTCTATAAGTATGCAAGATGATTTTGATCTTTGGCCCTTGACATTATAATATTTTCAGTATAAATGACTATTTTATATAATATTTCAGCTAAGACTACTGGAGACATACAAAAGTAAAATACACAAACTTATAGACTGTGATGGAGATGTAAGCACCATCAATGTCAACGATATCATTCTAGCGTAAGTTAGAATTGTGTTCAAATTTCAAATATTTTTCTCCTGGTTCTATGTAAGGCCACACTTTTTTAATTTTATGGATGACATCCTGCGCGCGCACCGATTTTCGTCCGTTCTCCAAAAAAAAAAAAAAAAAACCCCCCCCCCCCCCCCCCCCCCCCCCAAAGGAAGTCGGTTGTCGCAAACATCGTTATTGAATTTGCCGGAAAATGCAATCGGCAATTCTCTGCTAATTCCGCAAGCTCCATACTGTCATTGTCGACTGCGGAGACATCCGAGTAGTTCCGAGTGTGGAAAATGAGCTTTCTGCGCATGCGTATTATCACCACATGGAAATATGGCCGTTTTGCCGTCAACTTCATCTCTAGCATTAATTTCAAAATACACGACAATTAAAGTCATAAAGAGAACGGGGGCCGTCGTTTTGGATTGGTTTGCCATTGATATTGGACATGGAGATATCACCCTTTTACAATTTTACGAAAGGCTGGCCGCGGCCAGCAATCATCGCCCGGAAAATTTCAGTGACATTCTGTCCAAAGCAGCACATACCAGTTTCTTTTTGGAGCGAAAAAAGGGTCGACAAGAGCGTCGCGGTATTTGGTGGACTGAAGGTCGGACAGGCCACCCGATAGTTGGCTGCTAGCGTGTGAGTCGAAGTAGACAAAATGGCATCGACCGAAATTACCTTAGTAGTAGGAAGCATAGGCCTATCTTTGCTTAATTTTTTTAACAATTCTGTGAAGTGTTTACAATGCTTTAATTTTCTGAGAGTACAAATAAAGACACGCTATTTATTTGATATTTGTTTTATTGGTTTCTATACCAACAGAATGCATGAAATAACCTTAAATAGATTTGGTAATATGCAGCATATATATTCATGACTTTTTACCTTTCTACGAAGTAGGCCCTATTCACAATGCTTTAATATTTTGAGAGCATGGATAAAGACATGTTGTTAGTTTGATACGTGTTTCTGTGGTAAATTAGTGTTTCCAGCTGTGTACTGAAAACATAACTTTTCTTAAGCA